CGAAAGTTGATTTGGATTGCCAGTGCTTACATGACACCAGTGCAGCTGGCTCGCAGCTGTAACCCTAGCTATAACTTAGCCAGTCCAATTCTTTTTTCTTTGAGTAAGTCATCGTTACTATTCTGAGGTATTGCTAAAAGACTGGAACACAACAACAAAACGGACAAAACGACAACGACAAACGGACAAACTACAAACCGAAAACGGACAGAGTACGACAAACAGACAAACAGAAAACAGACACAAATCCAACAACAATCACACCAAGGCCCTAACTCATTGAGGGCTATCACAAAGGGCCCTGCATCCGTTGAGGGCTATTTCCCTACTCTCTGAACCCCCGTTCACTTCACGTACTGGTACTCGTATTTTTTGTCCTTGCCCCCCGAATCCAAGGAATGATCCAATAGAACCATTATTCCATGCACTGGGTACATGTATTTCCTGCAACCACAGTAATGTCACTAGCTTCAGCTTTTAAACTCTTTCCTTCTTGCTAACTCCAGGCTATTAGTATGCGACGGCACCAAGGAGCAAGTTCCATCATGTGCTCTTATTAAATTTCCTTGTTGGAAATGTTATGCATACAACCAGCTGGGTAGATGAAATGGAAGCTAAGAGCTTTGTGAATAGATGCCCCACCCAAAAAAACATTCAATGGGTAAAGCCAGCTCAGAAAGTTAGAGTTTTCCAATCAAGAAACTCCAAACTGTTCTTCAATGCCAATAGTGGCAAAAATATGTAACACTACCGGTACCAGTAGAAGTAACGTTGGGCTAGAAATTTTCTGCCTTGTTTAGTCTTGTTGTGACATGGTACACGATGTACGACGCTGTATTTTAAAATAGCCACGATCGAGGGACTTCAGTTTTTGTCGCGGTGAATTGACAGTATGGATGTACTGCCATGTTGAGTGCATGGTAGATTGTTTGGCTTGTCCGTAAAGGATGCAAAGCTTGTTGGCCCAAGCTCTCCATGTGCGAACATGCCGTAAATACGGGGTGATGGCATGACCGAACCAATCACAGTCGACTCAACGTTTTCTTCGCCGTATTCATTCACTCCTCTGGTGAAGCACGGAAACAGTCCTACATCACCCGTTGTTTTGTATCCTTTGGGGAGCTCCTGCAATAGCGATTTGGTAGCTTCAGCCGCATCACCTTTAAATGTCGCGACACCTGTCATCGCTCCCTGATTATCAGCTACCCAAAAATAGGGCACTTCGACGAGAGATATCTCATTTCCCTCTGTATTGACTTTCCAGCATTGCTTGGTAATTCCTCCATAATGCAAGGGAGCCTTGGCTTGCACAGCAGCCCAGCTTTTGCTCTGGTCAGCAACGACCATGAGGCTGGCTACATCCTTGGGAAAATCATCCGTATGGCCGGCAATGGCACCGTCGTAATATCCAATAGCGACACAACCTTGGCCTCCACTGCCTCCACAACAGCCATATTCTGATCCACGGCCCTTCTCCATCAACTCCACATTTTGTTTCAGGTCTTGATCAAAGCCAAGGATCCCGTATGTCTCCGTGACGTACACCTTCCTATCCTGGATCTTTTCTTTGTGCTGTTTCAGCGAATCCAACAACGTTGCCTGATCCACCCCAAGGGACATGAGAACCAAAGCATCTGGAGGTTGAGGGGCCGTCAACAAACCAAGGCGACCAGCCAAGGCAGAGCCCGCTCCTTGGACAAGAAAGGATTGGATTCTCATGGCACTTTGGTGTTTGAGAAGATCCGCAGTTCGATAGAAACGATCGTGACCCAAAGGATACTATCCACGGTTGAGTCCAAAACCTTTCCCACGTTCTGGTTCGAATTCCCACAAAAATCTCGGTGAGATGGTGGGCAAAGTGCGTGAGGCTCCATGGAGTTCTTTCAAGATCCAAAAAAGAAGAGCACTCAGCCTTGAGATCGAGTTTTCGCGCCCAGACCAAAAAGAGAAGAGCACGTACCGGTACTTGGCCTGATGGAGCTCCTGATGGGTGCCTTTTTGAAAAGCACAACAGAGATCGAGTTTAGTTTCGCGCCCAGAGAATTGAAGGCCGGCGGCTTGTCCTCATTGGTGAGAAAGGCAAGGGCAGAGGTTGTGCACAAATTGCACTACAGCCGAAGCAATCCCAGTCAACCGGCACGAGCCAATTCAATTTGTAGACCAACAATGGCATCCAAGAAGAACAAGAAGGTCCGCCAGAAGCATCAACACCAACACCATCTCCCAAAGCGTCGGCACCGTCAAAATTCTCAGCATGAAAAAGCACCAAGGAATGAAGTACCGCCTGTCATGCTTCGTGATCATGACAACCAGGCTGGGAATCGTACCAATGGTGTCATGCCAGCGCTATCGACATTGGAAGCACCAAAGCACTGAATGGAAGCAAGCTGTTGCAAGAACACAGGTTTACTCCAGTTGGATGGGTACCTACAATTACAACCCAGCCGTCACGAGCTGTCTACTCGCACCACCAAGACAGGCAAAATCCCGCTCATTCATTCACAAGAAGCACTTCTTCCACTCATTCATCACAACAGCCATGCATTCCCTCCCAACAAAGTCATCCAAGAAGCAAACACTGCATGCAGTCAGACTTTCCCTCCACGAAAAACCTCACATGAACCCTGTTCTTTGGCCTGATGGTATGGAGAACCTCGATGCCATCCGGGTCGGACACCAGAGTGGTTCAAACTGTGCAGTAAAAGTGTGAGGGAAAGAGACTTTGGTGGTGTTTGTGGACAACTATGGCACAGTTGGAATTGAATCCATCAGCAAAAGGAAAATGCACCCAACAACTGCTGCCACTGCAGCTACCACATTCCAACATTATGAATACCCCCATGACCACGGAGCAAATGTTGAATGTGTCGAAACGTGATAGCCATTGTCATTCACCCAAGAAGAAGTGCCCAGAGCTCTATTTTGAAGTGGAGATACCATCGAATAGAAATCGAGGGATAGAGTGCATCGTGCGGGTGAATCAATACGAGCACCAGCCACCAAAGTGACGGCGATGGTTAGTCATGATCGATCTCTCTGATGCTCCGTGAAAGAAGAAGAAGCTTGCTGCTGCTGCTTCAAGCCCACCAAGCAAGAGGAGCCTGTCATGATAGAGACATCTCCAAGAGGCGTAGCGGTTGTAAGAAAGAGGACATAATAGCACCATCTTGATAGGATAGAGTCAATAGAGTAAAGGTAGAGGTATCCAAATAATGTACGAGGTGGAGTGGATCAAACATGTTTATCAGTCGGTGGCCGTCTCTCGTTTCCATGTGAGTTGTCAACCTGTCTTACTTACATACTGCTAGTATGTGGTATGTTCGTGCGAATGAATCAACAAAAGCCATATCCACAGCTGCAACACCATTTTTCCACATTCTGAGACAATTCCTATGGCTATTTGTTGCACCAGAAGATGAAAAATGGACTTGTTGATGGCCAGCTGGTTGTTGTCTATTGAAAGGTTAAGAGAAGGCAAACAGTCACTCGACGACTGACTCTCCTACGCACGAAACAAGTGTCGAACGATCAGGTCCACCTCTTCATTCGTCAGTTCCATAAATTCAACCAATCGATCAGCGAAAGCTATGCCCTTTTTCCTCCCCCACAATGACCAAAACACTCCACAATAACGGCACTCTTCATTGACGGCGTAGCCTTGGTCTCGGCTTCGATCTCGTATGAAGTCTATCGGCTGTTGTTGTTTCTTGGTTGTTGTTTCGTGACCTTGCGTTGGAGTTTGCACTTCATCATGGTGGATCAATCCAAAAGGCGAAATTTCGGCGTGGAGGCAATTTCGGATTTCTGCAGGGCTGAATCTGCTCTGTTAACTTGTCGATTCGCTCTTGCCACTTGACCAGGGCCTTGTCCACTTGCTCCAATATATCTTCCGATCCTTCTCTCGGTCGTCGTCGGCTAATTTCCTAGCTCGGTTTTGCTGTTGAAGTCGGCTCTTCTTATACCCTCGATTTTTCTTGTTTGTCACGGCTATTCCGCAGGAAGATGCGCAAACAGCGTCCTCCTCGAAAATCCGGCTCTGGTGTGCCCTCGGCATACGTGCTGCAGCCATCGGTCAGTTCATGGTGGACCTCTCTACTAGCTAGCTAGTAGGCGTGTATCCGAACAGCATCAACCTCAACAATGAGGAATGGAAGCACAACGGCAGCTTCAGGGGAACAGTGATGATGACGGGACAAGTGCTTGGGATGTGCTTTATGCAACTGGAGTGCATTGTGCAATCTCTTGTGCAAGTGATCCATAAATCTCCGGATGACATCATATTTTGATCAGCGCAATTAATAAATCTCTGATTTAGTTTCTTCCCGAAGCTTTTTCAATAAACTCAAAACTCCCAAAATGTCTTATCCATTCTCATTGCCACAGGATTTGTAAGTGTAGGGTTTACCATGGCTGTGCCAACATGCTGAAAGGCCACCGGATGAACTCTGCAAAAAAGGGTTCTTGTACTGAAATAGTATAGGGAAGCTTTGCCAAAAAATGTTTTATCCAACCCCCTTCGAAACCCCCTAAATTAAGTCGTGAGGAAACCTCACGGATTTTCATGCACCCTTTGACCCCCCGCCCCTCGAGCCCCCAATCGCCATTGCTTTGCATGCTTTAAAAATCCAACTTTAATTGTCGTTTTTGGTACAGGCGATTGCGCCGACAGAAGCGTCGTTAATCGTCGCCTATTAGAAGCCAGCATGCACGACTAGTTGTGAGTTAGTAAGATTCAGGTTGTTAGTGTTTGAGTACTCTTGGGCCTATTTACTGAGTTCCGAACCGTCTCGCTATTTTCTTCTAGGATTGTGGTGTCCAGCTCTGCGTTGTATAATGTCTTATAGTAAGTCTCCTGAGGCCTTGGTGTGGAAATCTCAACGTGCACGATAATAGAGCGTACTGCTTTCCCTGCTTGGTGTGATGTGAGTCTTATTGAGTCCGCGTGTTGAGTGTACGTGTATCATTTTTTTCGTGCGGTTCCAATCCACAGGTGTTATTTGTTGATGGGTGGGTTAATCTTTTCTAGTTCTTGCTTGCAGTTCGGCTGAAGGAAGAATTTTGTGAGCAGAGAAGGAGTCAACCTTCTTGCGATCGATTGTTCAATGGCTGAAAGACAGAGTTGGACCGGTCTTGCATGTTGTGTTCATTCAAGGTTGCTATCTGTGAGCTGTCTTCGAGGGGTGCTATAGCCTTAGAGCCGATCTTGCGAATGGAGGCAGACATAGAGACATGTATGTGGGTTATCCATTTCAGGAACGCAGGCGATGACCTGAGAGATGTGTTATAGAATTGCTACTTTGTGTTTGGAGTATGCGAAGTGTGGT